AGGAATTTTATTAATCGACAGAATCTATACAATGATACGCAGATCTTCGAGGGTCTGCTTCCTCCCCATGCTTGGAATGATTCCAAGTCTTGTCTACTTCCTGATTATTTCTCCCGTGATCGTTTCTACTTCTCTTCCCTCCCCTTTTATGCATTCCACCTTATTTCCCCCCCTCTGCCAACTATCTAAGTAAGTATACTACTAATACTACAAATTCTCACTTAAGGCTAAAAACAACTTTCTCACGATCAGGCCCCGCCCCTTCCTAAGCCTTTGCTCCTCATAATGTACACTTGCCTGAGTAAGGGCTTATCAATTACACCCCCCTCAAAAAAGTCACCTTGTCCTCAAGGTGGAAGGCAGGAAACTGGCGCTGCATATCCTCAAACAATTCCCATGAAGACTTAAAGTCTAGAAGATGGCGCCATTTGATCAAAACCTCATGAGCAAGGATCGGGGAATAACGTGTATCTACAACCTGCTCCGGTTCAACCTGCAATGTCAAATCCTCCAACAAATTGGGAGGTAAAGATTAAGGACTATCCACCGAGCCAAGAGCCTTCTTCAATCGCAACACATGGAAGACCGGGTGAATCCGAGCATGAATGGGAAGTTGCAGCCTGTACGCCACAGGACCAACATGAGCAAGGACCGGAAACGGACCATAATAGCGTGGCGCGAGCTTTTCATTCACTACCCTAGCTAGTGCCCGATGACGGTACGGCTTAAGTTTCAAATAAACCATGTCTCCAACCTCAAGAGTCACCAAGCGGCGCTTCTTGTTGGCGTGGTCCCTCATGGACTGTTGGGCGCGGCCCAAATGGTCCTTCAAGTTAGCCAAAAGTGCATCGCGATCACATAATTGCCGCTCTAACTCTGAGGTAGCTGTAGATCCGACCTCATAAGGCACCAACCGCGGGGGATCTCGACCATAGAAAGCCTTGAAAGGTGTCATGGCAGCCGAAACGTGAAAGCTCGTATTGTACCAATACTCGGCCCAAGGAAGGGGCGTAAACCACTGCCGAGGGTGGCTGGAAACAAAGCAACGCAGGTAAGCCTCCAAACAGTGGTTGACAACCTCAGTTTGTCCATCCGTTTGCGGGTGATAGGCCGTTCTCCGACACAAAGTGGTACCCTGCAACCGGAAAAGTTCCTTCCAGAAATGGCTCATAAAGACCTTGTCGCGATCGGAGATTATACTCCGCGGAAAACCATGAAGACGCACTATGTCACGCATAAAGGCAGCAGCCACTATATTGGCTGAAAACAGATGTTTAAGGCCAATGAAGTGACCATACTTACTAAGATGATCAACTACAACCAAAACCGAATTGTAGCCGGTTGATTTGGGAAGACCTTCAATGATATCCATTGAAATGTCATCCCACACACGATTTGGAATTGGCAATGGCTGCAGCAAACCCGCCGGAGACAAGGTGGAAGACTTGTGCTGCTAGCATGTGACACAGGCAGCCACAAGCGACTCAACATCCCATCGCATTCCCCTCCAATAGAACTCCCTGGCTAACCGCTTGTAAGACTTGAAAACCCCCGAGTGACCGCCAATCTTACTACTATGAAATTCCCGTAACAAGGTTGGAATAAGAGGCGATTGCGGAGGAACGACCAGCCTATCCTTGTACAACAAATGCCCCCGATGCGGGGAATACCCCGGCAAAGAAGGATTTCCAGCTGTTAACTCCGTCACTTTCTTGCTGAGCTCGGGGTCCAATCCAACCTGCCGCTGCAACTCCTCAATATCCAGCACCATCGGGGTTGTCAAGACCATTAAAAACAGTCCCATCTGCTGCCTAGAAAGGGCATGTGCCACTTTATTTTCCTTCCCCGGCTTGTAGTGAATCTCAAAGTCATAGCCAAGTAGTTTACATAACCACCGTTGATGCTCCACACTCACCAATCGCTGTTCCAAGAGAAATTTCAAACTTTTCTGGTTCGTGCGCACCACAAAGCGTCTACCCGACAAATAGGGTCGCCACTTCTGAATGGCTAACACAATTGCCATCAATTCCCGCTCATATACCGACTTGGCACGAGCGCGGGTGGATAGAACTTGACTAAAATAAGCAACGGGACGCTGCCGTTGCATCAAGACCGCGCCTATGCCAAAACCTGAAGCGTCAGACTCCAACACAAAGGGTTGAGAGAAATCCGGCAAAGCCAACACAGGAATCTCTGTCATAGCTTTTTTTAGGCATTGAAAAGCATCATCGACCTCAGAATTCCAATGAAAAGCATCTTTCTTTAGTTGTTGTGTCAAGGGCCACGAAATGCGTCCATACCCTTCCACAAAGCGGCGGTAATAACCTGTAAGTCCCAAGAATCCCCGTAACTCCTTAAGGGACCGCGGAGTTGGGTAATCTATCATGGCTTGTATCTTACTGGCATCTGCTGACACTCCCTCCTTAGAGACAATATGTCCCAAGTATTCCAACCGTTCCTGTGCGAAAAGACATTTTTTTTGGTTGACATACAGTTGATTGCTCCGTAAGACCGATGGGACCCTATCCAAATGCCCCATATGGTCCTCCCAAGAGCGGTTGTGAATCAAGACATCATCAAAAAAGACCAATACAAAGTGACGCAAGAATGGCTTTAACACCTCATTCATCAAGGATTGAAATGTGGCCGGTGCATTTGTCAACCCGAATGGCATAATAAAGAACTCATAGTGCCCTTCGGGGGTGCGAAAAGCCGTCTTTGGTACGTCCGCGTCACACATACGGATTTGGTGGTAGCCCGCTTTCAAATCCAACTTGGTGAAAATAGTGGCGCCACACAACTCGTCTAGCAACTCCTCGATCACCGGAATTGAAAATTTATCCGGGACCGTGGCTTTGTTTAACGCCCGATAATCCACACAGAATCTCCAACTGCCATCCTTCTTCTTAACTAACAAGACTGGGCTAGAGAAATGACTCGTGCTTGGTTGAATGATCCCCGCCGCCAACATCTCTTTTACTAATTTTTCGATTTCATTCTTTTGAAAATGTGGGTACCGGTAGGGTCGAATACTAATCGGCCTCGTGCCTTCCTCTAGGATTATGCGATGATCCCTCACCCTATGTGGTGGTAACCCGGCTGACATGTCCAAAACAGCCGCATGTTTATACAATATCAACCGAAGCTGTTCATTGCCTCCCTCCTCAACGTCCCGGTTTTGCTCCACGCCTAATTGGCTCATCTCCAAATAAATTCCCTGGCCTTCATGACGAATGGTACGCATCATGGCCTTAAGGGAGATTAACGACCTCGTGAGGCTAGCATCCCCTTTCAACATTACACTTTCCCCATGCACTTTGAACCTCATGGCTTGAGTCCTCCAATTGACATGCATACTACCCAAAGTCTCAAGCCATTGCATTCCTAAGATCACGTCTATTCCCCCCAACTCAAGCGGCAAGAAATTCTCAATTATAGTTAAGTTTTGCATGGTTAACACCACCTCCTTACATAATCCCTGCCCTTGTACCGACTCTCCCGTGCCCGTTTGGACACCAAAACCGGTTGTAGGAGTTATTGGCAATGATAAATCGGAAACCAATGTAAGGGAAATAAAATTGTGCGTAGCACCGGAATCTATTAAAACAATTACCTCGCGGTGGCCAATCTCCCCCTTTATCTTCATGGTCTTTGGTGTGGTCAATCCTACTACGGAATTCAACGACAACTCAATCACCTCCGTCCGTAGCAAATCTTCCGGCTCCCCCTTTGTCTCCTCCAAGTTGATTTCCTGGTTTTCCCAATCATCCTCATCGCTAACTAACATGATTCGCAACTCTTTTTTTTTACAGCGATGCCCAACCGTAAACTTTTTGTCGCAACGAAAACAAAGCCCCCTATTCCTCTTCTCTTGCCACTCCGAATCGGACAACTTCCGAAACGGAAAATCCTTTCGCAGTCTCTCAACAATCGGAATGCTTTGGGGCTGAATTGGATTGCCTTGGGGCTGATTCGCTCTGGCTCCCACAGATGGATTGGCTGTGAACCCCGCCGCTGGGGAACGCCAAACCCGAGGCCCTCCCATCTCCCTTCGCAGCAACATATTTCTCTCATCAATCCTTTGCGCCATATCCATGATTTCGGAGAGTCCCTCCGGCTAGAGTAAACGCAATTCAGCCCGGATGTCAGCCCTTAACCCATTTACAAAAATGCCTTCAAGAATCTCCTCCGGCACCTCTTGTAAAGGAGCGGCCAATACCTCGAAGTTTCATCGATACTCGGCCACCGTTCCCGTTTGCTTAATCGCCAAAAAACGCTCACACAAATTCCCTTCCTGTGACGAACGGAAACGTTGTAAAAGAGCCACCTTGAAATCAATCCAAGTGATGAAAGGTCGACGTTGATTCTGCCATTGGAACCACGATAAGGCATCTCCTTCCAAAGCTATTCCCGCCATAATTAACTTCTCTTTCTCAAAAAATCTGTTGATGGAAAAATATTGGTTCATCCTAAACAACCAGCCATCCGGGTCAATTCCACTGAATAATGGACAATCCAGCTGTTTCCTCCTAATTGGAGAAAAGTCTTCACCTCCCCACGGTTCCCCGTAAGTCCCCAGAAAATCCATGGACTCACCAGCCTCATTCTCTTCCCAACGTCGCCTGTTATCTCTACCACCATTTCCGAATCGACCTCCCTCGTGTCGACCGTCCATCCTCAGCCTGGGTCCACCGTTTCCGGTGCGATTTCCACCTCCTCCTTCAACATCTCGACCTCCGCGCCAGTCCCGAGCGTCCTCGGTAATTCCCCGACGCGATAATCGCCGCGCCGCCCCTCTCAGAGATTTCTGTCTCCGTCGCCGGTCTCGCCATCCCTGGGTCGACCATTCCGGCCGTCGCAGTGGAAATCAGGTCGGATTCCGTTCGCATCCCGAGCCCTAACACACGCAATTTCTCCGTCCTCCTCTAAACGTCCCGTGATTTCGCGATTTGCACCTTGGGCCACCCCTACTTCATCCTCCCGAATTCTCGCGGCTCCCGATCGTGAACCCTCCGCCAGTGGAATCGCCATCGCCGCCGCGGTTAGCAGTCGCATCTGCTCCTCCACCAGTCTGCGCAGTTCCGACACATTCTGACTCACTTCCGCTACGTTATGGTTGATTTCGGCCCTTACCTCACCAATTTCCTTCTCCACCGAAGCCCTAACCTGCTGAATCTCCTTCTCCATTGCATCGAAGTTCTCCTCGGTTTTCCTGGCCGCCATTAACACCCAGGGAAAACCAAAATTTTTGCTCTGATACCAAATGATAGAGTCTTTGGTGTTTGGGACAAGAACTATGTAAGAATGAATTGAAGAATCGAAAGAATCTAGAAAGAATCAACGTAGGAATTTTATTAATCGACAGAATCTATACAATGATACGCAGATCTTCAAGGGTCTGCTTCCTCCCCTTGCTTGGAATGATTCCAAGTCTTGTCTACTTCTAGATTATTTCTCCCGTGATCGTTTCTACTCCTCTTCCCTCCCCTTTTATACATTCCACCTTATTTCCCCCCCTCTGCCAGCTATCTAAGTAAGTATACTACTAATATTACAAGTTCCCACTTAAAGCTAAAAACAACTTTCTCACGATCAGGCCCTGCCCCTTCCTAAGCCTTTGCTCCTCCTAATGTACACTTGCCTGAGTAAGGGCTTATCACATTTATGTGTACTTATTCCTATTATGTCAATTCAATAAAATCACATCTTTTGGGGGCATACGATATATATATATATATATATATTTTAATTAAAATTAAAAAAAGTACAATTTGTTGGGCCGGCCCGTGAAGGGCCTGGGCCCAGGCCCATATGGACTAGGGCCGCAGGCCTGGACCGGGCCTGAGTTTTTCCCCTCAGGCACGGACCTGCACTGTGCAGGGCCGTGCCAGTCCCGGCCCAGGCCCGTCACGGGCCTAGTATTGGACATGCCGTGCGGCCTGGCACGGCACGTTTGACATCTCTATAGCCACTCGAGACATTTTTCAGAAAGTCTGTTTTTCTATACACAATAGAAGAAAAAGTCAATTGAACTCACTCATTAGCAATAACAGAGACGAATTCAAGGCCTCCTTTGCTGCTGAAGTGACTCTTTGTTTTTCCTCCAATGAGAGCTCAAGAGGAGAAACGTCTGAATTCTCTAATTCAATTTTGAGCCAATTGCGATATGTTGCATCACAGGAATAATATTCACTCTATTTGGAAGGAGAACAGATATTAATATACTGAAACTTTGATTAACAAAAGGACGAGAAAGAGATATGCATACCCAATCCTGGAACTCCCTCAGATTCTCAGAGACATTATAATTCTCCAATGTATCAGACAATTCTTGTAGTTGCTTCAAAGGTTCAGCAAGAAAACTAAGTAATCTATGGGCACCTATGGGCATCGCTGGAACCCTCCACATGGAAATGAGAGCAAACTCCCTGAACAATATGTTGCTATAGGGAAAAGAAATATACACTGAAAGTCAGAACAAACAAAGAGGGGAAAAAAAAGTGAAAGGAATGATTTGAGTTAAACTTGAAGATCAAGCACAAAAAAATTGAAAGCCGACCAGAGAGTCTACATCATGGCTAGTGTGCAAATTAGGAAACCAAATTGAAGCATCACTTGTGGCTATTAGAAACAACCATCTTATTATCGAACCAAAAAGATTATCTAAGTTTACAATCATGGCTTTCAAAGCATTATAACTTGTCTTCAAGCATAAATGAAAGTGAATTCTCACGAGTTCTTTATCAAATTAGTTAATTCTGGAGTACATATTGTCAAGAAAGCAGCTTCATCTTCCAGAATCCTACCCTAAAGCTATAATGTGTAGCATTCAAATTACCTATGTATCAATGCTCGCAAAAGAAGTTTCAGACTAACTTCTTTGACATTATTAATTGTGGAGGGGGTTGTAAAGCAGAGCCATTGGGTAACCATAGCTTTTTGAAGACTCTGCAGGCGATGCTGCTCTGCAACATCTGATAACTCATTATCCTTACCAAATTTTGTTTCCCGAGATCTTGATAAGACCCTGTTTAAGAGTATCAGAACAAACAGAGTCGCTTAGTTGCATCCTACCTGAAAGTCAAAGTATGCTCAAGAGGAAACACGAGTACCTCTCAATAATTTCTTCAAAACTGCCTTTTGAATCGTCCCCAGCAGAAAAAGGTAAATACTCCACTGCAGAAAGGAAGATCTTATGCTTGACATGCACACTGAGAGGCAAAAAAAAAAAAAAATGGTAACAAAAACAATATCAACACTCAACAGAGTGTACAAAACATCCATGCAAATAAGAAAACTAGGGGAAGGTGTGTGATTAAGACATGGGTACGTATGTACACTTGGGTTCATGCAGTAACTGCACCATATACGAGTTACGGAGTAATGCCGTTTATAAACTATACAGTAAACAAGAAGAAAAAAGAAAAAAGAAATAAAACCGCCAATCTTACTCTTCCGGGAAATTTATTCAATTAGCTGTTAGTCAGCTGTTCTTCATTCAATTACAATGATGCC